ACAACGGGACAACAGGATACTTTTGTGTTTTCGCCCTCCGTTTAATCTCTTTGTCCATAAGGATAGCACCATCAGTCATGTTTGTCGCCTGCCTTTTTAGCATCCCCCTCTGCGTAACTTCATAACACCGCCTTTATACTCCCATGTGATTCTAAGTTTATCTGTTTTCCTGGAAAAAAAGAGAAAGTAGGTAGTATCTGTGAACTCGACAATGCCTTGTACACTCTAAGCCGAAAAAGACTAAAGTGGGGTATGCCATTGGTCCTTTAGGGGTCTAAATGCGCTGCCACAGATTTTGAACCAATTTTGGACTAACTGCGGGAGTAACTGAAAGGGCTCAACTGTTACCCCAAGCACTTACTCCACTTGGTTTAAATGTTGGCCCCAGTAGACTGCTCCAGCGGGACTAACAGTTGAACCGTCTGGACCAATGGCAAAAAAAAATGGCGACACTGCGTTTGTGCAGCATATTTTATGTTTATTCCAATTTAATCAGCACTGAAGATCATAGTATGTTATTCATGCAACACACATACACAGTATGTTATTCATGCAACACACATACACACACACACAACTACATACGCACTATTATTTCAAAGTAAAACCCCTCAAACACTGAATGCCCGCGCTGTACTACAGAGAACAGACTCTCGGGTATATATAGCACAGTATTTTGACCTCCCATCTAGTGCCAGTGGGCGACTTTTACTCGGCTTAAAAAAACAATAAACATTGATACCGTAACGCGAAAATTTACATCGGCTAATTCGTAGCACCGATGCGCACCAATCTTTTAATATGGATCCATCAAACATTCAACATGCCTCCAGCCCGAGACTACGAATTATCAGCTGGTATTCGATCATGTCGGCCGAACCAGCGTTCGCAGTGCTGGCGCACGAGTCCGCAAACACAATCATAGCAGCGGCGCTTGTGCGGGAAAGCCGGCGAAGCAGCCGCAGGCGCCCCGCCGATGCCATACCGTGTCGGCTTGCCGACGGCGTCGCTAGGCTTACGACGAGTACGGCTAAACGATCGCCGGCGATCACAACATGCGGCTCGCGTGAAATTTTCGTCGTCGTTATTTTATAGTCACAAATGAACGATAGGTAAGTGCCCCATGCTCGCTGTGTCTTACGGAGTGATGTAGATATCTGTATACTTACAGCGACGAGGCCGTTCGCAGGCACGGTTCTTTTATCGTGCTGGTAAAGCGCAATCTATGTACCGCTGGCCGCACGATTAGTCGTATCCGCGATCGCCTACACGTTGGATTTTTGATAACGATTGTCGCATGGATAAAAAGACGTAAGTTTGCCTGAGCTACTATTTTCGTGAACTTGTACGCGACGTTTCCTTCGCTTGTGCCGGCAATGCACTCACACCGGCAGCCCGCTTGATACCGATGACGTACGAAGCCTACTTTTCCTATATATCGCTTTGAACTTGTGGTCACTGTGGGGGTACACGACCGCTGATGAACAGCTTACCTTTATTAGCATTGTCAGTGTTCACCGTAGTTCTAACTTATTCAGCACATTAAAGCGAGTACTCGGCATTGCCCGTTTTTGCGGAGACTTTCACTTGGCTTCGGCTCGCCCGTGCCGGCATGGTGGAAACGCGAGGACGCTTGCTGTGTGCACTGACAGCGTGTTGTACTACTTTCCTCTAATAACATCTTCTATTCGTTTCATAGTGCTTCATTTTCACAGTGGCGTATAGCCTATTTAACTTGTTTTCATGATCGCCGACCACGCCGAGCATTGCAGTGCAGCATCGACAGGAGGCGATCGCGGCGCAGTTGCCCTCCCCGTTGGTCCCAGCATTGCCGGGCGTTTGCGCAAGACACGCATTGTCACACATTTAGTCCCTGTTGGACGAACCGTTCGTCCATTGGTTTAACGACTGCAGTTAGTCCAACTTTGCCGAATTTCGGCTTAGAGTGTATAGTCGACATGTGCTGATAAGTAAAGACCCGTGTTCGATAGTGGCACGTTCGATATATCATCCTCCTTATTTTTTCATCCTTTTCATTTTATCTTTTTTTTTCTACTGGCGTTAACGTTACCGCGCCAGCGCTCGACTGTCTCCGAGTCCTTCGCATCGAATACATTTTTACTCTCTCTCTCTCTCTGTCCGCAACATATGCATTCGGCTAACGTGGCTGCGTGGGCGAGTTGGTACGACATTATTCACATAAAAACGGCCCCAATAACCAGGGACAAGAAAAGGAGAAGACAGACAGCAGCACTGTCTGTCTCCTTCTTCTTCTTCTTTCTTTTTTTGTACCTCGTTAGCGACGCTGTTTTCATGTGATTATCTATTCGGTCGTTCTTGACTGCCGAGTGTGAGCTTGGTGTCCAGCACACCACTTCTCTTCTTCGCCGAATGTTCAGAAGCAGCACACCTTTCTTTCTTTCATTTCTTCCTATTTTCTTTCTTTATCTGTTTCTTTCTTTCCTTCTCGTTCTTTCTTTGTTCCTTTCTTTCATTTCTTTCTTTCTTTCATTTCTTTCTTTCTTTCTCTCTTTCTTTCATGGCCTACAGTAAGCCCGTACATCCAGAGACGGGCAATATGTGTCGCTCATTTGACACGTTGCAGTGGCCGCAAACACTGCGGTGGTGGCAACGTGAATTGCGTATACGGCAATCGCAACGACGAGAGCTGTCTGCAAATCGGGGCTACGACACGCTGCGCCGTTCCTATCTTGTTTGCTCCTCCCTGTCTCATCTTGTCTCTGTGCTGTCGGTTCAATTCTCGCTGTGTCTTCCTTCACGTCCCGAAAGCCTGCGTTCATGTCGTGGTCGGTACGCACACAGCTCCAGCCATGTACACACCGATTGATTTTCGGGAGCGGAGGTAGAAGGTGCCGGTCTTTTGTTTGCAATAGAAACAAAACTAAGCATAGTAACTGTCAAGATAGCTTTCCGTTCACCTCTCGCCTGCTGCGTCGATTATTACTTCACCTCGAGGTGAAACCGCTTTGAGGAAACTGGCGTTCTCGCGCTCCTATCGCTATTTTTACTTTCTTTTTTGAGGATATATTTTGACTCTCTGTCGATCCGGTGCAAGCTTGGTGATGCCGCATGACGTGAGATGTGCCCGCGCGCTTATCTGTCGCAACTCCCGCTGTCACCTGTTGAGCAATGCTTGCGTTTGTGGGCCTTCTCCGGTGTCACCTCGAATGCCTTTGTGATTTCGTATCGTGACCGACGTCGTTGTCGCTCTGCCAAACGACATGCGCGGTAAAAGAAAGAAAGCAAGATAAATACAGGGGAAAAAAGGACAAAGAAAGAGAGAAAAGAGAAAGAAAACAAAATAACGAAAGAAGGAAAGAGAGACAAAGAAAGAAACGAAATTAACAAGGAAGGAAAGGGATAACAAAAGGAAGAATGAGAAAAAAATGAAAGAAATTAGTAAAAAGAGGAGGAAGAAAGAAAGAAAAAAAAGAAACAAGGAAAGAAACAATTAGGAGAAAGAAAAAAATGAAAAGGAAAGAAATAAAGAGAGACAAATAATGAAAGAAAGGAAGAAACTTTTCCATTGGTTGCTAGAACTTAGGCTACACATAAACCGCGAGGTATCAGCAAAACTGGAGCAAGTGAGGCATTGCCTCAACGAACCCGAAATTCTATTTTTTCTTTCTTTTGCGTTTCGCACAGCGTCCTCCTAACTTCCTCCCACCCTCCATGGCGGGAATTGGAACTTCGACGTCCGCGTGCTTATCAGCGCCACACTTCAGTTGTTAAAGGCAACATCATTCAAATTCTATGCAAGGACGGATTTTTACAACGTGAAACAACTAGTGACCTCTATAGAATGCCAGATTGTCGTTAGAAAAACGACTAATTGCCGAAAACCGAGAGAAATTCGGTAATTGGTAAATGGATCGTACAAGTACGCACGCAATTGGTTCACCTTCGATGGCCTAATTTTTTTTTTTTTCACGCTCGACAGCGCCGCGTTTTGCTCATGCATGGCCTCCAGAATCTGTGAGTTGTACAAGCTTATCTTAAACAAGATATACCGTTTGTTGTAGGCCGGCAGTCTCAGACTCATCCTGGGCAGTATAGGCCGCAGTCTCAAAATTTATTCGCGCAACGGTTTGGTTAACGAAAGAATATAGGAGGAAGGAATTAAGGGGCTTCCGTCAGAACACATCAAAAGCAAACGCTACCATAGAAAACCTTTCCCATCTCATATACGGGTCATCCCTGAAGAAGATTTGGGGCCAGGATGCTATGCAGCAATATCATTAATAGCGATCTCCGAAATGAGGGAAATCCGAACGCCGATTTTCAAAATACTGCCTTGAAGAATACGCTTCAATGCATCGTGACCACATAAGGAGGCTCACGAAAACAATGCTGTAGACGAGCCATGCCTGCGTAGCTCACGAACGTACTTATTATGAAAAAAAAATTGGGACGAACAGAGCCGTGTGCAGACCGCGGGCCGCAAGCGAGAGGTTAGTGGGCCACGTGTTTGTGACCGCAGCTATATTTGTCTTAGCACATGGAGTAATTCATGATTGCTAGGTAACCTCTGGTAACCATGGTTACCATGTTGGCATATGTTTCTACGACCACATAATACCTGTAAAGGTAACCATATATGCCCCGCCGCGGTGGTCTAGTGGCTAAGGTACTCGGCTGCTGACCCGCAGGTCGCGGGTTCGAATCCCGGCTGCAGCGGCTGCATTTCCGATGGAGGCGGAAATGTCGAGGCCCGTGTACTCAGATTTGGGTGCACGTTAAAGAACCCCAGGTGGTCAAAATTCCGGAGCCCTCCACTACGGCGTCTCTCATAATCATATGGTGGTTTTAGGACGTTAAACCCCACAAATCAATCAATCAAGGTAACCATATATGGTAACTAAGTTAGCATATGCGATGCCAACAAAAGCCGTCGTCGCAATACTCACTAAATGCCGCGGTATACTCGATGTAAACTCGACGAGCCCACGGCTCACGCACGCTGTTCTTTCTCCCCGCAGGGATGCGCTGACGTCACTGCTCGAGCGTCGGGGCCTGGACCTTTCGGCCGTGCAGGTGCTTCAAGAGGGCAACCGGCGGCCCGCCAACCTCAGCCACGAGACGCACAAGTTCGCCGGACAGCAGCTCAGGGTCAAAGGTCAGTGACCGCAGCATGAATTCCTTCCGGATGACTTCGCCTGCATCAGCACTGCTTCGAACTGTTATCATGCGAGCCGGTGGGCTGTTTATGCGCAGAGCTGTGTGTCGTCATCTATATACTTGGCAGGGACTTATCGGGACGTTGCCCTGTATGTTTTTTTTAGTCTCTGACTGCTGCTGGTGACACCTTGAGCAAAAATTCACAAGGTCTCTCATGAGCTCTAGACGACTATAAGGCGAAAAATATTTTATTCTTGGTCGGTTTATTTCTGTTTACTATAGTTTTCTGCGTATTATCAACTTCAGAGTGGTGAAGAATTAAATAAGGATACCAGGAAAGGAAATTTTTGAAAGCCGTAAAGTACATATGCACTATTTTTTTCCTAAATCACAAGATAGCAATGATACTGAAGCTCAAGCAAGTAATTGAAGTCTGAGGAGGTGAAAATGTCCTTGAACAGAGAATGAAGCTGGGGCCAACGTTTCGAAGAGTGGGCTTGTCTTCGTCGAGGCAGCAACTATCTCCGTAGGTTGCTACCTAAAAGAAGACAAAGTACATCTGCCGAAACATCGAATCCAGCATCACTCCCTGTCCAAGGATGTGTTTTTTTTTAAATCAAAGAATTATACGTATAGGAAGCTTGAATGCCGTGGCTGGTATCATGATTTTTCTCTTCCCATAGCGACGTTCTTCTGGTCACTTCCGTTTTGTCACGAACGCTGTGTCCGTTTGTGCAAGTACAACGAGAGAACCACCGTGCCCGCCAAAAAATGAGATCCATGTCCAGACGTGTCTTCTCCGTCATTGTCGATGTTGCAAACACAGAGGCCTGTCTCGGATTCCTTGAGCTCCTCGTCGGTTCTACACGGTGTATAGCGTGCAGTCCTCTGTCACAGCATTTCCAGAAACGCATGCGCTCGCGTTACCGTTTCAGGTTTCTCGCTATGTAGTGTATCTTCTCTCCCCCCCTCTCTCTCTTCCTCCTATATATCTCCTACCTACTTCCCCCTCTCTCTCTGTCTCTCTCTCCAATATATATTCTAGCTACTTCCCCTCTATCTCTCTCTCTTTGTCTCTCTCTCTCGCGTATATATCTCCTAGCTACATCCCCCTCTCTCTCCTACATATCTCCTAGCTACTTCCCCCCTCTCTCTCTGTCTCTCTCTCCTATATATCTCCTAGCTACTTCCCCTCTCTCTCTGTCTCTCTCTCTCCTATATATTCTAACTACTACCCTCCCTCTCTCTATCTCTACCACTCTAATTGTAGCCGCTCAGATTTGGTTCCGTCGGACACGTTCTCTCCGTTATGCGCACAAAACGTACGTGTAGCATCCTCGCTGCCAGTAAAGTATTGCGCATGCAGCTGGGCCCGAGTCCCGCTTGGTGCTCAAGGAAACGAATTACCTCCCATTTATTTCTGCTCGTCCGTGTCTCCCCGTCTCGGCCCGATGGAGCCTGCGCAATCGCTCACCGTTTCCCAAGCAGTGAAGAAGGATTCCGGATTACGGTCGACAAACCGTCGTCCGGACAATGACTCGCTTCGCGACAATATATATATATACCCGCGAACTTGTAACTCGTAGATACAAGAGCTTGCAACTGATAAAGGATTGTCGTATATCGTGAACTGTGCGCGTTTGTAAACGGGGCAAGGCGAGAAAAGAGAAAAAAAAATTCAGTACCAGAGAAAAGGAGGAATTGAACACACACACATTCTGATTGAAAGGTAACAAGGGGCGTATTTCGTATACGCCATCTACAAACACGCGTAGCGACAAAAGGGGTGGCTTGTTGGCCGAATCGGTACAATGTATTGGTTGAGGGAATCGCAAGCAGCCAAAGAGTTGGCTGGAAAAGCTTGAGGCGGGGAACGGAAAAAAACAAGCAGGAATACTGCTGGATGGACAGATAAAGCGTGGCGACCAACTTGCACCATATTCTATCGCATTGATGCAAGCTTCATGCAATGCAGAAAGAAGATTCGGGGCAACTTGGCTTGAAGTGACGAAATGTCGTCCAACTACAAAGGTCGTCGGAACAGTGTTTCGACGAGGGGATTTTTTTTCGTCGGGGCTTTGTCGCAACGCTGGCCCAGTGTCGATTCCTTGTTCATCGGGTTTTCATTACGTCGAGCGTGCATTTAAGCATGAAATGAAGCCAATATGCTATGGAAATACGAGGACTGTTCAGTGGTTTATTTTATCCCACCATTTGGCAGCTTGCAAAAAAAAATGTTAGTAATAAAAATTCTTCGTGCACTTTCAATCGCTGTGTAGCTTGAAAGTGCACGTATGATTTTTATTATTGTTTTTTAAAGCTACTAATTTGTGGTCTAAAATGAATTGCTGAGCAGCCAAGTTTCGCATCCACCATACATGTGTGCACTTTCAAATTGCCTTGCATTTCAGGAGAGCGTCCACTTTCTTATATTAGGAGCACGTTGAAAAAATTCTAGGTGGTCGACATTGATTAGAAGTCCCTCACAGTGTGCTTCATAAAAGAAGTCGCGCTTTCCTCTGTAGTAAAACCTCGGAACATATTTTTATTTATCTAATCAAGGCTTGACTCATCTAGCATAGTGATTGCCTAGCGTATTATTATCACATTTTCCTGACAAGAGGTGTCGGGTACTTAATATCTGTATTCCGGTGAAGGTTTGTAAGCCGGTTAAAGGTCTGTTCCGTCTAAGCTATTTGAAAAAAATTCTATGTACCTGAAAACAGCGGAAGTCACATCAGTCAAGACAGCAGACGAATAGCGCTCGTGTCGTCTGCTCTCTCTTTCGTACTTGGCTAATTTCCTCTGTTTTCTCTGTGCATCTCAATGAGGGTAATTACGCTAGTATTTTCTGCGTTCGATTGTTTTCGTGCATTCTGTGTTTCAGTTGTGTTACACTTGATTTCCATAACACAACTCGTATATAGCATATGAGTCGATGAGTCGATTTGCAAATGACTTCCAAGGAGTCGATTTGTAAACGTAGTGATTAATAATAACACCTCGCGCAGCTGGCAGATCGGGGGAATACCGTTCATCTTTCACGACATTCCATACTAATCTTTCATCTCTTCTGCTAGACTAAGCGCTGACTGGTCAGCAGTATTGAGTAATTTGTGTCCGACTACCTTATATAGAACCAGCGCCTCGTGCCTGCTCATATTTTGTTTATTTTGTTTTCTTCCATTTCGCTACATGCGCGTACCAAAAGAGCTTAAGGCAGTGCTGACGAAACGCTAACCGCCCTGCCTGCGCAATCAGAAGGAAAGCTTAATTAATTTTTTTTCTCTTGCAGAGTCAAGGCAGGTAATTAAAAGACTTTGCGCACAATTACTCGTGCTTCGCGCTATGTTTGAACCGACTTACTGCGAGTCTCGGTGCTGTGTTTTTTTGTACTTGTGTTTTTTTTCTCCCGCTTAGTTCCAAACGCTGAAGCGAACAAAATCGTGATTAATCTTTAGGGCAATATGGTGTGATGACTATGGTTCGCCCCCATTATTAATTTAGATTTATGTATCTGCTATATCGCTCACATCGCGCCTCTATTCGCGATAAGCTGACACGTAATTTTTGAGCTCCCTGGTGCGCTTCGTTAGTAACAAACGCTCACCTTTCTTGTATGCATGCACGCGTGCTCGCGTGCGTAAGAAGTGATGAGGGTTGAAATGTGGGCTTGTTGGCGAATCATTTGTACATCTTTAATACATAGATATAGCAGATACACACAGAATATTATGCCATGTACACAGAATATTATGCCCTAAGGTCAAGCCTAAAAATGTACGCAATAAAATATTGTGTGCAAAATGACACACGGGCATGCTAAGCCACATTTCATTGTGTGCTTTGTTTCGTGTGTCGTTCCGCGCTACATCAAAGCTGTACAAGTATTAAAAAGTGAGCTTTTAGCATTTATGCAATGAAGAATAAATATCCTGTGTAAGTAAAACAATGCTTGTGTAAGTTTTACATCCCAGAAACATGGCATGATTGTGATTGATTGATTTGTGGGGTATAACGTCCCAAGTCAACTATATGGTTATGAGAGATGCCGTAGTAGAGGGATCCGGAAATTCTGACCACCTGGGGTTCTTTAACGTGCACCCGAATCTGAACACACAGGCCTACAACATTTTCGCCTTCATCGAAAGTGCAGCCGCCGCATCCGGGATTCGATCCCGGTCAGCAGCCGAATACCACAGCCGCTATAGACCACCGCGGAGGGGCAGGCATGATCTTGAGGGACGCCGTAGTGGAGGACTCCGAAAATTTCGACCACCGGGTGTCCCTCGACGTGCACCTAAATCTAAGTACATCGCGGTTGGTACACCATCCCGCGGCCTCCTGGTCAGAACTCGAACATCATCGACGACCGTGGCGGGTCAGAAATGCTCAGAACAAACTACAAGCGTGAATTTTGTGTGAAGGGCGAGCTTTCAAAAAACAAAGAAGCAGGGGGGTGGGGGGAGTTGTTTTTTGTCCGCACTGAACACAATGCGCATCAACTAAAGGTCGTTTCACATGACACAAAAAGTAGCGATTTTCAGGCTGTGAACTCGCTCAGAGCGAAAAAAAAAAAGACAGTTCAGCGGTCCGCGGCGAGCTTCCAACATGTTGGAAATTTTCGCTCTGATCGCAGTGGCGGGAGCGATTTTTGGTCGGGACCCGTCGGAATAGGGCTGGTCTGGCCAAGCCGTCGAAATAGAGTCGACGTGTTTGTTTTGGGAATGGCCGATGTTGTGCATTTTAAAATGAATTCAGACTTTAACGACGAAACAAGCAAGCCCTTCGTTACCGTTCACGGTAACTTCGTGGTATCATAATGCACATATTATTACATTACATTCGTGTCTGTCACAATGAGCGGTGGCAAGAACTCGCCGCTCCAGTCGCAGAGCGAAAATCACTGACCGTTCGCGCTCCATGTGAAACGAAACCGCCATTAGCAACAGTTGCGGACAGAGCGATTGGAGCGAACGGAACAATTTTTTTTTTTTC